TCCCAGGAGGTCTCCCATCCAGGTACTGACCAGGCTCACACCTGCTTAGCTTCAGTGGGTTGCCAGTTGTGAGTTGCAGGGTGATATGGCTGCTGGCTAATCGTGCCCTCCTCATAATACCCATCTATGAATTGACTTCATCACTCTGTTCTCCTCCTCACTGATAGCTGGTGTGTGTGGGGAGTGTACTGGTGCACTGTGGCTGCAGTCGCATCATCCAGGTGGGGGCTACACATGGGTGGTGGTGGAGGGGATTCCCCATTCCTGTAAAGCACTTTGAGTGGAGTGTCCTGAGTAAGGAATTCTTATTATTTTCCACTACAAACAGGTTCTTCTGCAGATCCCTTTGACTTTATAGCTACAAATTCACCTAGCTTTCAGTAAAAAAATTTAATATAAAGATAATTTTTGTATCATTATATAAATGTTTGTTCTTGAAATTTGTTTTGTTAATGAATAACTGTTCTGTTGTTCTGTGACATGTGTTCTTCTGTAGACATTAAAAAGTTAGAACCTTCTGATTCTGTAATCAGAGAAGTTCTGAATCTATTCAGCATTCATGAAAATAGATTTGTAACTGTGAGCACAGAATCATACACTGCTGGCTGTTCTTGCCAAACAAAGATTAAAGCAATCTAAATGTAGCTAAAAGATCACACATTACTCATCAGCTTTAATGAGAAAAAGTTACAGAAGGTCAGCACAAGAATACAAGAAAGAGGAAATGATTTTAAAGTTAGATTTGAAATGTATAGTCTGTGTTTACAGAACCATCCGTTCATTCATCAAGAAAGCCACTAATTTCTGAGAAGGATTGTGGCACCCAGAAGCCCATTCTTAAAGATCAGGGCACAAGACATGAACACACCCTGGACGGGACACCAGTCCATCACAGAGCACAAGGCAGGAACACACCCTGGACAGGACACCAGTCCATCACAGGGCACAAGGCAGGAACACACCCTGGATGGGACACCAGTCCATTAGAGGGCACAAGGCAGAAACACACCCTGGACAGGACACCAGTCCATCACAGGACACAAGGCAGGA